ATGCTGATCTTTTCTCAACCAGTCAGTGAGCTGGAGGGAACACATACTAAATGCGTGTGTCAGAGGATATGACCATATATAGAAAGTCGTCCCTATTACGACAACAAACTCTGAATGGCTCGGTGAGTTCAGAGATTTATCGTAAACCGAAAGAGTGAAGACGAAGCTCTCTTTTAAGGAGCGACGTCGAATGAATGCAAAGGGTAGTCAACACATAGTTGGTCATGATAATATATGTCATCATATAGTTAACCATGATAATATATGTCAACAAAACTAGCAAAGATGATATAGATCAACTTATAATAAGCTATGATAACACATCAGGATCTCAACATAAAATTAGCCATAACATATCAATGTAAAGCTGACCATGCCAACATATTTAGAGGTTATTTGACCATGATGTAAAATATGACAAAATTCTATCGATATAGGCAGACCTTGGAAGGCCTATGTCTTAACAAGATTAAGGGCATATTTCACATCATAGTGACATAACTGATGCATTACATCTCTAATATTACTATAGTTTTATCAAACTGTCAAATATGAGCATCTAAAATGTCAAAAGGATACTCAAAATTCAAACGAATTCAAAATGTATTTACCTAATCACATACATCTGTACGGATAAATGCACATATAAGGAATCCACCATGCCCTGTTCAGGACACGTAATTTTCAACACTGAACGCTCAATATCTTCGTTATATCAGTAATTTATATGATGTGGAACAGCTTCATCATTGTAATGGTTTTAAATCACATTGAAATGAATTCGTAAAACTTTAGGTCTAACGGGGATCCCAGTTGGGAATCCCAAAATTCAAAATGAGGTAAGAGAGCTTATCAATAATGCAAAAATACTGGTGGATATTGCCCACCTACTTTGCCACCGACTCCCGTACAAATGCTTCATTGGTATGTAAGACATCAACATAGATGGCTATAACATATGCCAATATAGATGCCATGACAATACATAGATGGCTATAACATATGCCAACATAGATGCCATGCCATGCCATGCCATGCCATGCCATGCCATGCCATGCCAATACATAGATGGCTACGTATGCCAACATATGTCAATATATAGTTGCATTTATATTCCTTTATTCAAAGTTTCAGGATTTTCAAGTTTTCTGAAAAAGGTCAGGCTAAATTCCCATTGACACAATGTTAAAAAATCTTTACAAGTTCATTCACAACTTTAATGTTAAATCACAATCGGCATGTCAACAAGGTCACAAACATGTAGTTACATTCCAATGGCGTTTCACATTAATCCAAATGAAGATACTTGATAAATCAAGAAATTAAGTGACTAATTTTTCTAGTTGTCTACATATTATGGAAATTATTCTTGCTCTACCAACACAGATGCTGCCATCTATTTATCCACCAATAGCACATGGCCAATTAAAGCTTTATCCCCCACTATCAACTTTTATTTGGAATACATGTACTAGCAGAAAAAAATGTACCTGCATGATTGTTTGTGAATGCACTACAGTTAACTATAGGTGATTGTAAAGGGATTCAAATGAATATAATTACGGTTAAAAATAAAAATATCAGAAGTGATAGTAGAAATTATAATTTTGCCAATTAAATATACAGTATGTACTCCTTACTACTGAACTGAAATACTAATGATGAACTAAGAGCACCTCATTCACAGAATCGCTGAATCATAATATGGAGACTAATTGAATGGATTTGTACTGTCAAAAAGGAGCATCACATAAACAGGTAAATTAATGTTATATGATACGCATCTTTTTATAGATTGTAATATAGCCTGACTTGCTATATACGTAATATCCAACTATATATAGCGATATTTATTACTCGGTGTGTTATAATTGTTATCGTGGAAGATTATGGTTATTTATAGATTTGTGGGGAAATAGGAAACTTTAGCTTATTGCATTCTTTACCTTTATAGTACCTACTGCCTGCTTACTATTCTCATCAAATGCTCCCTATTTGCACCAAATAACGTTAACCATAAGATTGATGCTATAAAAATTTCAGCCAATCTAGGCTCCTTGAAAGGACGTATGCACATAGAATTTCATATTGACAACTGAGGAGAGTGGCATGCGTGACGTGACGGTGACGTGACGCAGTTGACGTGAAGCAGTTGACGTGATGGAATCTGTGAATCTGAAGAAATATCTGGATGTAAATAGCTGCATGTCAGTATCTTGGAGTTTGGTTGCTATAGTTACCAGGGATATGTTACCTCCCTGGAGATCTCTCATCCCATTTTAATTTGCTGTCTGCTATTAAGCCATATTAGTCCTCCATACATCCCATATGTTGAGAAGCAATCCTGTCTTCTTTATAAAACAAGAGGAGTTCCTGGATTCCATACATAAATCACAACCTTGAGCATATTTGTAAAAATGAAATATATACCCAAGAAGTATTGCTCACCTGGTTGGTGTTAAACAAAATACACTGTCTACTCTAAACAGCAGGTCTACAACTCCAGTATCTCGAGCCTGGTTTTTACCTTCATTGTAAAGGACATGGCGTGCATTTTTAAAAATGAGGGTGTTCAATTTAATATAAAAGAGTCAGTTTTTATGAGAGAGTCTTACAGAATCAGAGTGAGATGTTTTGATGCTATGAACTATTTGTATCAGGCAAATATTCACATTTCATAAAGATTCGCTGTCTTAATATAACTCTGTTTTTCTAACCAAGAGTTCTTCTTGTAGCTATTTTTACTTAAACATTAAAGGGTTTCTTTCTGTCCTTTATATATTACAAAACTCCTATTGATTTGTATAAGGTATTCCCCTATCATCTATCTAACAGAGTCTGTGTCTTAGGGTATCCACCATTTGTATCTAAGTGTTTCTACAATTAACATATCTGACAACCTATTTACCTTGTCTGATGATTGACAGAAGTGTTTCTCCATTCCAGTAGAATTCAAGGTATCATATATCATTGCTGAAAAGTACATTGAACCTTTATCAACCATAACCACAAGGCAGTATGTATGCCCATCACAGTATAATTGAGAGGCCTCTGTAGCCAGTTTTTGCTGAGGGGGTTTGATTTTCAAAGGAGTCTAAGGGGAGGGGTCATATTTGACAACTTTGGCCCAATTTTTGCCTCCCTGAATCCCATTGGAACATGAATACTACATCTGCATTATCAACACCCCATACACCATGGGCTGCTTGAGATGTTATTAGGTCACAGATTTCTACAAAACCTTAAATTAATCCTTGATAATTGATATTCAGAGAAGCCCATGCTCATTAGGCATCAGATATGTTTACAGACAAGTATATAAACAAGATTCCAGGAGTCCAATCAGTGTGTACTGCAATAAGACTGCTGATAATAGTCTAATACCAGAGGAACTGAAACAGATATGGTTCACTGGATATAGCAATACCATATCTAATAGACTCCTATCTTGACTCACTGTCTCATTAATCATGACCCTTTTGACCTCAGTTAAACTTGACATGACTGATTGACATTTGGGAAGTCAGTGATATAAACAAATCTAAATAGTATCTTATCTTTTAATCAACAAGTTGAGCATAGATGATTCTAAATGCTGGTGCTAAACATTGATTTCTGATATGGTCCCTATAATAGACTGCAACCTACTCCAATGACGAAAGAACCATTTATTAGTTAAAAAAACTGCATAAGATAGCTGCTAGGTCATCTCAGGCCATGGTACACCTACGCACCCACACAGTCAACATGGCAATTTATTAGAAAATAATATCAAAGGGACATCACTTTGAGGTCATTTCCCCATTGATCAATGGACCATCAATTAGGAAGCTTTGCAAACATGAAGGAACAACTCCCAGCACAAAGGCAGAAGATATGAAAAGTACATTATAATCAAAGAGAAATGTATTTAATTAATATCTGGATAATACTGATTGGTTTATTCATTGTTATAGATGGCGCATGAATAAGCTTTGAGATGAAGACCCAAGAAATTCTAAGACGTTCTATAAGCTAGACTCAATCGAATAATGAGCTAAAGGACAGAGTTCTAATTCATATTTTAAGACACCCAGTTTGCTCTATTACTTAAACCATGTAAGACAATTCATTGTCGTGATGATTTACTTAAAGAGCCGAGTGATAAATGCTATCCTTGTGCTTTGATGATCATTTGTCAAATCAAGAGTAAAAAGTTGGCATCATGTTAAACTGTGAGCAATATAAATTACGCTTGATTTTTAGTTGTTCACTTTCATAATGAGATCAAGAAAATATACCACAGATCTTATTCCAGGATATCTAATTACCTAGGTTTTATACAGGATTTCTGGTCATGCAGTTCTCTTCATCTTTTATTAACAAATATGCCACTCATATGTTCTCATGAGCTACTCATTTTGAGTACATTTATTGTAATAGTGACAAGCTATACTCATATGTTAATCGTAACTTTAGTAACGATTGATGGGTGAAAATGGAGTTAAGAAAATGAAAAACCAGTAGATGATCCTCTATTATATGTACTTTGCTATTATATGTACTTTGCTAATTTATATGTACTTCTTGAAATCCTTGATATAAGGGATGCAGCAATGTCCATCAAGAAAAATATGTCAATTTCATTTGATGACCGGAGAAGGTAAAATACTATTAAATGATATTTTTCTGAATGATCCCATATATTCTGATCAGATTAAGTAGAGAAAATGGTATATTTTACACGGGGGTAAAGCAGACCCGATGATGCAATGAGCTTGCTCGGCGGTATCATGACTGTGTAACGGGTCTTAATGTATAAGTGTGCTCGGCGGTAGGTTCAAACAACGCGGATCCTCAAAGCATGTGCTCATGGTATATTTGTGTTTTAACACTCGTGTTTTAGAGAGATGAAATCGAAATGGATCCTTGATATTTTAATGTGTTCCTTTAAATTTGCCCCACCTTTTTGTATTCTGACTTCACCCCTGTCTAAAGGAAAGAAACAGTGCACTACTTACATGAAGTGTATTCCTGAAGCTGATGGAATTCTGCCGGCGATAAATTCTGCCATTTGAACGCCATCGTCAGGTATAATTGTGGCCGACCAACGGAATGGTAAGCATCAAACTGAATATGTCAACTCCTTCACATCATTAAATAGATACCAATCCTAGAAATAATAAACAATGAACATATAAATAAAATGATAAGATATACTACAATGCCAGATGGTATACCATGCATAAAAAGCAAAATAGCATATTACGTAGTCAGTTAACATCTTTAGACATTATCAATGACTTTTAATCTACCTCTGAGTAAACCATGATTCATCTCTCAAAATATATGTATATGCAATCTCACCATCTTTGCATTTTTTCATATTTAACATTATTGATTCAGAATGTGTTAATGAAAGGTGAAAATCAAGCATTATTGACACTGAAGATATATCAGAATCAACAGCTTTCTTATATCATATTTTACGTCTTCAAAATATTAAGAAGCCTAGACTTTACTGTTGAGATCTTGAAGAAACTAGATTCAGATATATACAGAATTCTAAAGAAGCCATAAGTCTATAAAATCCAGCCCTGGATATGTAATATTTGAAGTATGGCAATACTGACGTCATACTTCTATTGACATTGGTTAAATGGAATATTGCCTTATAGTGTATAGACACATCTCTCTATGATCAACCGGGGAATATTGTGGATATTCCTAGTCTATAGTAGGCTGGAAATAACCAGCATATTTCCATAGGAAGAACATCCAATTTCCATGATTTTACCATCTATACAATGCCCTATCCACCTATTTTACTTGTGACATTAGCTAAAAATGATAAGGCTGGGGAGAGGGATCTATTCCTCATTAATTGAACAAAGTCAGAATATATCGCTGCATATGGACAATTTATGATGAAATTATCGTGATTTGCATCAAATATGTTCAATATAATTCTGATGAATATTCTTGCTCTGATTTTGCTCTCATGACTATGTCCAGCACCTTTTTTGAAATAATATGGCAACGTATATTGATATCATAATGCATTAACTATTTGCCTTGGGAATATAGCAGATAAATAAGGGTTATGTACTGGGAGGTTTTGGATATGGATTTTATCAAGAGAGAGATACACATATGTACCTGGGGGACTGTAGGGATCGAAGGTAGATACACATATCTCCCAAGGAATGAACCCTATTTCCAAACCGACCGTACATAACTGCTTTATCCTATACCCAGTAGCTTTCTAAAAAAATTTGCATTTAGGATAAATGTAAATATGTCCAAGGATGCACCCTATATCTAAAATTCAACTAAAGAGGGCACATCACAATTTTATCAAGCAAAACACCACCAAAATCCAACAAGATGAGAACATATAAAGTTGATTTATATGGTATTGGGTGAGTCGGAGTCCATTTATATCTCCCTCAGGATAAATTCTATATAAAAACCTTTTATTACATCACCCTCATTTATTCAATGGTTTTGAGGCAATAAAGGAAGATTCAGAGACTACAAAGTTTAGTTGGCAATATCTGATGCATAAATACCCTTATAAAAGAGAGTAATGTCAAGGCAATGTATAATCATAATGGTTACGGGACCAATATAGATGGCGCATCATTCATAAGTTGTTCTCCATCCTCGCTCCATTGGTTTATGTTCAAAAATGTAGAGAGACTTGAACTACATGTACATTAATCAAATTAATATTAATTACTCAATTATAACGTGTAATGTGTCAGATGATTCAATATCATGTGATTTATAGACAATATCAATATCATCTACTTTTGAGATTTTTGACAGTCTTTGAGGCAATTAGGCCTAAATTACTGAAAATTATCAACACCATTCAAGAATATTGTTTAATTGCACAACGTTTCATGTATAGTTCAATTATGAAAACATCAACTCCCTGAATAATAAGCTGTGGCCTGATACTGCTAAGCATACAAGTATGAATACCTGCATAGTTCTTATTGGATGTAACAATGTAGGGGGTAATTAGTAAATACAAATGAATAAACAATATAAATTGGAAAATGCAATAAATTATGCATGAAATATCTGTCTAGTATTAATTAATATTGCCATAAGCTAACCTCATTATAATCTTCAACATATAGCTATTCAAGATGTTACATTTTCTAGTCAAAAAGAAATATGTTTCTAATGAAAATGCTTTTGCCAAACTAACCCATATGTTACCAACCTGTATGGTTGGTAATTTCCAGCTATTTACTCAATGCAATATGCAACATAACATCTGAAAATTCCTTATCATATGTAACACATTACTGACAATGAAATGTTATGTTCTTTCAGTGCTTTGTAACTTTAAGTATATTTGTTTATATCTATACTGGTATTAAGCAATATAAATCCTAGAATCGGTCTGATGGTTGTTGTCAGCCTAAGTGTTCAGCTGGACCAATAAAAGTTGAAAAAGCATGGTCTGTTATGTCTGACCACACAGTTCAAAATCAGAAGCAAAATAATAAAATGATTAGCCCTGTTACTGATGTGCTTGAGCATCACTAGCTTTAATGAAACTTAAACCTCATAAAATTGTGACAAAATGACCCATTTACATGAATTCCCCATCCTTGCAGCAAGGGTATATAGTATTTTAAGCATAAATGAAGTCCTTTGAAGAAGAATGGAATGCCTCAATGCATGATGATCTCATTGATAACATAAGGCATTAACAAGCAAAATGTCACAACAGATATCAACTGCAGAACATTATTACAGGCACCTACTGCCAAACACCAACTGCTGAATGCCATCCACAAAAAAAGATGGAGACTATAACAATATGTCACAACTTCTGTTGGTGACATAAAAAACTATGTGGCATATTGTGTATATTGTGGTTTCAACAGCCTCTATCTTAGGGAGAGATCTCTCACAAGATTAAATGAAGAAGAGGGACTCTGATGAATCAGAATGGGTTGAATTGAATTTGTACTCTTACACTTATAATCATATTAGCTTGCATACAGACATCATGTACTTGCAGGTTACAAAGCCATTCTACTCTGTCTACCTTAATTACTGCAAATTCTGATAGGCCTAAAATACAATTAAATAACTGGAATTCGAACATGACTGTATACACGCCTTCTATAAACTGTAAACAAAGTCAACATTTCTCCCGGGGTATATTCGCGAACAATACCCCTAGTAATACCATTCTCAAAATTCATTTCGTTCGTTGCGTACCTTCACTACCTCTCTGACGTTGTTAAAATAGTTCTAAAATTCCCGGGGCACGATCTTAGAAAGCTTCAGAAATTAGTACTTTCTTTATTACGAAATCAACAACGCCAAAACTTTAACATTCCATTAATCAGAACGTTTACAAATGATTTTACTATTGAAATTGGTAATCAATGCTGTATTTAATGTGTTTTTAGGTAAAAATCTCCGCGGAGCAACAAATTGTAAAATGTCAAGATCGATAATCACTGGGTTCGACATTACTACACGATTTCAAGATGGCGGTGTCAAAATTTTCCAAAATCGCTTCAAATAATATTATGTTAATTTCTGGCGAGTTCACCAATATCATAACGTGTTATCTAACAACAAGATAAAAAAATATGTAAGAAATTCAATTTTATCGATTAAAACATTACATCGACATGTGGTTTTCGTTTATTAGACGATTAAAATTACGAATATGGGGATGACGTCACTTCAAAACGAACTGCATAGCAACGGTGTTAATAAACAATTTCTGACCTTGCAAATTCCTAAGTATTCATTTTTAACGAATTGTTACGAATTACTTAATATTTTTCTTATGAATGAATTCTTACTACATTAGAAATAAACATTATATAAAATATAATGAATAAAATTAGTAGCAAACGCAAACAAATATATTTTTTGAAGCAGGTCAAAATATTTAGAAGGGTAAATTTCGCGGGAATTTAAAGATCTGCATGAGGTAAGGCACAGGAGGTACGGATGGCACTGGACGAAAGGCTCGGAGACTGTAGTAATACGTGTAATGTGTGACGTCATAACTGCGGGTCGTAGTAATGGCGGACCATAATGAATATTCGAAACATTTTGGTGAGTTTTCATGTTCGAATCGTAATACAGACCTCAGAGCAGGTGTAATATCGTCGAATACACCTAGCCCTGCGGGCTGTATTCGACAATATTACCCCTGCTCTTCGGTCTATATTTCTTAAATATAACATGTGGGTGTGAATGCAACACTACTTATCTTGAGAGGGCATAGGAAAATAGAAGCTGACAATACCAATCGAATGACACAGAGTTATTATGTCTTCAAGATCCATAAAGAACTTGATGTCACACCCACACCCTATCCAAGAATCAGGCGAAACCATCAACAGTTTATTAATATCTTTTCACATGGTGGGAGTACATCCTTTTAAATTACATAACTTGTTATTTCACCACATGCTGTAGTGCTATATATACTTCACATACTGTATAGTACATGTATATATACATAACAGGTGGATCTGATTATTCATCATTTTTAGAATGATGAATAGTGGTATACATTTCCATCATTTTTATACTGTAGACTTTGATATATTACAAGCTTATGATAGACATGATAGTTTATGATAGACATTTCATATCAGCTACATGATATATTATTCACCAAATGAAACAGTACAACTACAATTGAATCTGATATAATAAGAGCTCACAGCCCCGCCAAGGACCCACTGCCCCACCAATTTCTTGAAAATTTGGAACTTGGAAATGTGAGCCAGAAATCAACAAATCTCTATGGTGATTCCTGAAGACATGATGACTTCCATTTTACTTTTTATTTCAAATTCAAAATCATATTATGAAAACCGGAAATACAATAAATTAATTTAAGATTTTAAGTGATTTACACGTTTTGCCACATTTACTTTTGGTTTTAAAAAGTTTTAAAAACAATTATGGAGAAACATACTATTGGCTGCCATTTTGAATGTCAAAGATGTTAAAATGTCATCATTCTTGTATCATTGTTTCAATCCCTCTGGATTCTCTTGAAAATCATTAGACATCACTAA